TGATTTGAAATTTCTATATTTGAATTTGATTTGAGTTCAAATATTTGATCAAATCAAATCAAATCAAATCAAATTGTGGAACCCTACCTGTTAAATTCTGGGATTGTAATAATATTAATTTGCAATCGATATTTTTATAACTACTGTAAATAAATATATAAAAGACTCCAAAATAATAGACCCACTAGATACTAGACCCATGTGCAGTTCTTAGAACCTTTTTGATTGAAATGCAAACATCTAGATTGCATATTACAAATAAGTGTGTATGTATTTCTTTTAATGATACAAACTTAGCTATTTACTAGACTCTGGGTTTTTTATATAACCATTTACAGTATCATAAATTGCCATATATAAGACTCATAATAGTAAATCTTCCATGTAGTATACCCGGATACAAATAATAAGATCTATATTAATCAAATATAGGTTTTTTCAAATATTTTGATTGCCTATTGTAACTTTGTGACATGAACTCTTGGCTACATACTAGACTCGAGATCTATTATAAGTTTTAAAATTGGTGAAATATAAGAGACCTGGGTTTTGTATATAACAATTTATAGTAGTAATACTTTTTAACTTAAGTTTACAAAAACATTCTAATAAAAATTTTTAAAATTTATTTTAATAAAAAATAAAACCTCTATATAGTCATTTTTTACAATTTGCAATATAGTTGTGACTATATAGAGGTAACTTCTATATTAGTTACACCTCTTTATAATTATGGTTTTTTGTATCCCAAAGGTGTGATTATAGAGAGATTTAACTATATTCTCAGATTTCATATCATGATGAAATATTTTATGTAAATAAATATGATGAAGAATCTTAAGTAATTGAAATCTAAAATAATTTTAATTAAATGAGTAAGAATTATAAACTTTTTTTTAAATCATTAGCTACAAAGGAATAAAGTATTGACAATATTTGATTAATTGTACAAGCTATCTAATAAATTGCTAAAAATTTATCATCAAATTATAATTATTAGATACCTTTTTTATATGATCATGATAACAAAAGACAAAGTACTAGTGTTTTCACTAAAAAAAAATCAGAATTTATCAAGAAATCTGCATCTAAAATTACATCTAAGCTAGCAAAATAGTCTAGTTCATTTTTCTGGGCAATGCTAGAGTTATAGCCTGCAGGACTAGTTAAAATAACCTTGTTATAGTAATAAATTTGTAAGATTGTAAATAAGCATTAAGCAATTTTTTACTAGAACTGATATGTAATGTACTAGTTTAATACAATATAAAATACTAAATTTTAAACAATAATTCAAGCACCCAATTCATCAAGTTATCTAAAATATTATTTACTTATTATCAACTACTTAAGTTAAGACAGCTTATTAAAGCATAGAGCTCTTCAAGTAAACAGTAAGACTATCATACTTGAAGTTAGCATTTGCTTGATTACATTTGGAAATATTGAAGTTGAGTTTGGACAAAAATTGATAAAAATAAATAGCTTGTTAAAAAATTAATTATTTCATAAATTATTAATCAGAATTATAAGATTTTGGTATTATTTGATTTGTCTTGACAAGACAAATCAAATGGTACCAAAGTTATGTGATTCTGATTGGATAATTTAGTTAATCTGTTTAGATATCTGAATTAAAAAATATGAATATCCAGATATAGCTTATTAGATAAATGGATGTTGGATTGGAGCTCTAGTACAACCAAGATTACAAATTGTAGATCTAACTGATCAATAGATAATTGTTATTTAATGTAGATTTATTTTTCAAAAAACATCATCTATAGGATTCAAACTTTAAACTCTGCCTAGTGAGGTGATGACTAGACTATTTCACTAAGCTACTACACTCTAATATTATTATTTTTTAGTAAATACTAAAATAAAATATAATATATATTCTTTTTTTAAAAAAAATTAACTTTTAGTTTCTTATATTCATTTTTTTTGATATTTTTATTTTGTAATCTGCTATTATTAAAGCACCTTTTTTATCTAATTTAAACAATTTAGCTTTAAATTAACTGTTTAAATAAGCTTTTTATATATGATATACAAAAAAATAAGTAAGCTTTTTCTTATAGTTTGCTATTGTTTGATAATAATTATTAGATAATATTTATATTAATTATTCAAATATTAAAAAAAATTAATACACTTTGTATATCGAGTATTATATGGCTTAGAATATTGATTAAATGTGTATAATAAATAGTAATTAATATATATATATAGTATATATATATATTTTAAACTTAGACAGTTTCGCCAGTATTTTATTAAGATCCTAAGTATAATATCAATATACAAAATACTGAATAACTATACTCGTTTACTCTTAAATTGCAAACTTGTCATTATCTGGCTACCTTAAAAATACCCAAATGCAATTTATCGTACTAATCTGAAATCTAAGATTAGAGGCTTATATTAAACTAGCCTAATTGTCACACCAAAATAGCTTCTTCTCTCTTTTGTATTCCTTTAACTAACAAGAAATATAATAAAGACTATAAAAGGAGAGAGATTTTAAAAAAAAAAAATATATTAAAAAGACAAAAATACTAAAAAGAAAAACAAAGGCAATAGAAGAAAAAAAAAAGTAAAAAAAAAACAAAAAAAAAAAAACCACATAATGGACAAAAAAGCTAGTCTAACATAAAACTAAACTAAACTAAAAAGGATGAAAGACTAGAAGATAGTAAAAACTCAATTAAAAAAAACAAAAAAAAAGAGTTTGTGACAATGCACTATTATAACCCATGCCAGGTAGATAAAAATTATATAACAATTGCAACAATTGTATATCTCTCTTGTAAAGCATCATCTTAACATATATTTCTCCTTTCGATTATCTGACTATCTTCAGAAATCTCTTTAACTGTCAGATCCTGATCTGACTTTGATCCAATCTGTGAGGTAGCATCATATTTGTAAACATACATAACACATAGTTGCATTCTACTGAGTATATCCAAATTAGAAAGTATAAACAATGCTGATCTTTTGAAGGTGGTAAACCAAATTACTTACTTTTTGATAAAAATTTTGGAAGACTAGTAAGGAGGCAGAAAAAAGTAAAAAAAAGAAATATCTTATACTATTTCTTAAAGAGTGTTTATTTTTCTGCAAAAAAGAGTATCTATTCTAACTAGAGAGAGAGTGGAGTACAGAAGGCTTTTGCTATAGTAAGTAATAAACTCTGAACTTGTTGGCAGGTAGCGTATGAGAACTACCTCTAAATGACAGATACTGCTCTTGTAGTAAGTGATAAACTCCAAGCCAATTAGCAGGTAACATATAAGAACTATCTCTAAATAACTGGTGCCGATTTATTAAATAACTGACTTTCTTCTTCTATTTCTAATAACAGATTTTTTTGAAATTTTGGTTATTGAAAATTTAGTACAAGAGATCGTCAGAAAGAGTTGAGTAATTAATATATTGCATATAGCTAGTAGTTTTATCAGAGTATATAATAAGCTTCAATTTAAAATTTTGATATATATAATTATATAAACATATATAATATGTATTATAATATAAGAAGTATATAAAAAATACAATATTTATTTGGTTTATATAAACTAAACAAGTTTAAACTAAGTTTTCAAACTAGTTATAGTATTAAAACTTTATAATTTGGTTAGTTTGGTTTTAACTATATATATCAAAGTTTAATTAAACTAAACCAAACCAAACTTTTCTATCTCTAGGTTAGAGTTAAATTTGATATTTAAAAAGTATAAATAGATTTTTGGCAGGGTTTATATTTTTAAATTAAACCTCCAAATTTTAGTATTAGCTGCAACTATAATTTTTTTTAAAAAATATACCCATATAAAGGTTTTTAAATCAAAAATGTGATTGCATAAATATAATTATATAAAAAGTCGACTGTATAATAAAATTATAAAATAAATAAATAATAATATTTCTTTTTTTAAAAAAAGTTGCAATCAAATTGCAAATTCAGTATGAAAAAATCAAATAATATAAAAAGCAATTGAATAATCTAATTAAAAAATCTAAAGTAATTTGTATCAAAATACAGTAAAACTAAACATTTTTTGCATTATAATTATAAAAAAATTATACTGTATAATGCTATTTTAAACTATATACTTACATTATACTAAATTTCAAATTTAAAATTTTTCTCTTATATAATATAAAAATTTAACAACTGTTTATGAAATTTTTTACTTTCTTATCTTACAAATATATATTTTAGATTTTATATTTGTCACTAAAATTTTAAAATAATTCTTTTATTTTTAAATTATACTTTATGCTATGGACAGACAGGACAATGTAGCTTGCGTCTCAATTACCTGTTTAAAATTAAAATTAAATAAAATAAAATAATATAAAATAAAATAAAACAAGACAAGACACAAACCTCAATCGCTTGTTTAACTTCTAAATGATTTCTAGCAGATATAATCCAATCATTAGCCAATTTTTTTGGCCAACCTTCTAATTGATTCAACTCTCTTGCTGCAGTATCCAAATCATTTTTGTTAAGATAATATTGGACCCGGGCCAGTATCGCTTCCACATCATTCCCATCCACGAGTCCGTGTTTACGAAACAATATTTTAGATAATACAAAAGATAATAGATGAGAAAATACACCACCGTCTTCAGGAACTAAAGAAGCACGTCTAACTTCCTCTCTTACGGTGTTAAATCGTTTTGACAAATCTGAAATGGAATCAATACCATTGATGGCAACTGAATCATCAATTGTAGACAATACAGCTGACACCACTTCATCAGTTGAAAAATAACGGCGCATTGCAACAATCTGTTCGATAAACGGAGTTCTGTGAGGTTGATCAACTATATTTTGTAGTGATTTCAATGCGCACCATAAACGATGTATTTTGACACTAGCGTCTAAATTTTCGGTGTTATCTATGCAAAAGCGTTCAAGCGTTTTGATGCGCTTATTGATATAATCTAATTTTGCTAGACGCCCATGACGTTCTTTTTCAACCATAATCATTACGTCTTTTACCCATCGACGTTGCATGTCAACAGCCTGTCGAACAAGTTCGTTTTTTAATTCTTTATCGTGTTCTGATGCTTGACGTGAAAGCTCAGCGTTGAGCTGTTCATAATGATGTTCGTACAATTCACGTTTCTCTTGATCAAATTGTTGTTTTAGAGCAATTTCTTTATCATTAACTTGTTGTTCCATTGAATTTTCATATTTGGCAATAATTTGATCGTATTTTTCTTTCTGTTCTTCTAATTTTTTTTGCAACAAAACCTGTTCATCGGCCTTAAGCTGATCAATTTGATTACTGAGCTCACCTAACTCATCTTTTGCTCGTGATAAAATTTTCCCGCCGGCATTTTTTAGGTCGTGTTTTACCATGATAGTATCAAGTTCTTTAAGTGTATCGGAAAGTTTACGAATGATTGGATTTCCTTGATTGGCCAATTCGGATATATCAGAGGTTTTTAATTTATCTTCAGGTAGTTCAGGCAGATTAATGTATTTATTGCCTATTTGCCACACTTTCTTTTTCATATCATAAAAAACACCCTGCCTTTGAAGATCATCTACATAATCTACTACCTGTTTTGCTCCATAAATGTGTTCAGTAAAATTTTCTCGAAATTTAACATTTTTTAGAGAATAATACACAGCTCCACCATAAGTTAAGCCGCTTAAAAGTGTTATTTGGAACAGAAATTTACCGAGTTTAAATTTACGTTTTTGAGTTGGCGTAGTAGACGTCGGTTTCGCAGCAGTTTCGTTACTCGCAAACCTCTGTTTTCGCATGTTGTGTTTAAAAATATATTATCTAACAATTTTTTTTTTTTTTTTTTAGCAAAGGGCTCGAAGCAATATAAATAAATTATAAAATAAACCTTTACAATTTGAAATATTCGCTGTCTCGGTGAGGATATGAGTAAACACGTAGAACGTGCTTGGGTAGCTTGTCGCACGACTCTCAACATAATTGTTATTCTAGATGTTTTAATTTCAATGAATACGGGGATATGTAATGGTTGAGTTTTTTTTTTTTTTGGTTATCGTTATCGTTATCTATGGTAATACAACAGATCAAAGAAACTAGATGAACGAAAAAGCATCATGTGCTATTGCATATTATTTCGACCAATGGTCGTCGACGAAGATTACTGGAAAATGAATTGTTAGGTTCGACTATTTTTTTGAAACGATGGAGGACAAAAAATCTGCGATGTATTATTCCCGGGGCGTTATTTTGAGATAATACTGTATAATCTAAATGCACACCCTCGGGACTATAGTAGAAATTTTAAAATTGTGCATTTATGTATAGAATGTATATATAGAATGCGCATTAAATGCTCTACATACAGACTAAATGTGTATTTAAAAAGGAAATCATAGTACATTTTAAAAGAGTGCATTCTGCATATAGAGAGAACATGTCCTTTTTACAGAGTTCGAAATGTTGTCCGTATGATAATTTAGAAATTTCGCATTCGCAAAAGTTTTACTCAAATTTGTAAAACAAACCAACTACTACAATATATCGCTATTTAAATCAAAGATATACGTAGTTCAAATGTCCATTAAAATGCAGAGTCTCGATTCTTAATTTTTTAGTTCGAAAAAACTCTTCGCTCAAAATTAGAGTACACTAACTCCTGTAATCATAGCTTTCTGATTTCACAGCATATGTTAGGCAGAGTCTCTCTCCATATATAAAAATAAATCCTAGTTGCTAACTAAATAAGTACAGTATAATTGGATGTTTTTAATTTGATACTTAAAACCAAACAAACCAAACATATTAGATATAATGAATTTGGTTGGAGTTTCAAACCAAAATTGAATTCAACGTGCCTTGATCTAAAGCATGCTCTTCTAGACCTTTGCTAATCCTTCCGAACTATTTGATTCTCGAAAAAGTTAATTTGTTATCAAAAGTCTCATTAAATTATTCTCACTTTGCACGTGAAATTCATATAACCTTTTTATGATTTATGAAGCTATATATTTATTTATGAATACATGAGATCAGGAGATACGTAGAAATCCTAATGAACAAATGCCATAGATGTGTAGCAATAGTACAATAATCACTAACAGTTAAACACTGCGTCATTATGTCACGGTGTCACTGAATTATCATAAATGGCAGTAAGACTGCCCAAGGAAACGTACGTTTTTTCCGTCTCACTTTAACCAAGAGTAACTTTATCACTATGAGTTACCCAAACTATCCTTCGGTACAGTTTCCGCAGCCGAATATTACTCGTGTCTCTCCCTCGCCCGCTAACTACCAATATCCCACCCTTCAACGTCGTCCGTCCTCCTCTCCTTTACTTCAAAGAGAGAGAGAGCTTTCACCACCGCCCCCTCAACAGAGAAGAAGCACCGGAAGTTCGCCGGTAAGTTTTTTTTATTTGTCCCTTAAAATCACTCTATACTCCCATAATAGATGTCTTTGCATCGATTGTTAAGCTCACAAGCGAAAAATAATACTTTAAAATTAGATGAATACAATGGAAAGCACAATTACTCAACTCCTTGTCACTACAAAATCCTTGTTGGAAGCTTTGACTGCTTGGTCTAATGGGCGTGTGACTGAGCAACAAGTTTCTGATATTTATGTAAAACTAGCTATTGAATTAAATCATGTTGTTCAATTATTTGGGCAAGCTGGTGTGGACACGAGGTAAAGAATCTGGTAAAAAAAAAAATATTGATCAATACAATTAACTATAATAATAAATCTTTCCTTTTGTAATTTAAAATTTGTAATAGTAATATGACGAATATTCCACAAGAATTGAAAGTATGCCTTGAGAATGCTCTTTGTGAAGAGGCTTCTCCTTCTTCTTTGGAGAACCACCTTCCTAAAATCAGAGATATTATAGTAACCTTGTTACAAGCTTTGAAGACTAAACAAAGCATATATCGTCAGACTCAAAATAATTATGAAAGTAATAGTCCACAACCGACTTCTCCCATTAATGGGCCCCAATCAATCTTCTCTGTGAATCAAAACCCATCTCCTCCTCCTAGTAATAAACATGATCACTTGGCTTCTTCTGATGATAAATCATATAGTAGTAGTAATGGTAGTAGTCCTGTGGATCCTGTAGCTGCTTTAAAACGTGACACTCTTGAACGTCGTGCTTCAAGAAGATTTTCTGCTTGGGGAACTGGAAAAAAACCTAACTTTCGTCCTCCTAAAAAAATGAATTCTGTACAACCACCTGAAATTAAAATACCTGAAGAAGTTGAAAACGTACAGGAAGAATCAACATTAAAACCTAATGGTTCTGCTGTAACATCTCCTATAATTTCTCCTATAGAACCTATACCTCAAAATGACAAAAATGATAAACCTAGTTTAGATAAACATGACGAGAAGGATGACGTTAAAGGTACGACTGATACTCTTATTTATTTATTTATTTATTTATTTTAATTTATTTATATTGCTAACTTATTTATTAACTTTTTTTTCTTTTTAGATTCTAATAAGAAAAAATTTATCATTTTATATTTACAACTTGGAAAAGATGTCAAGAAAATAAAATATGATGGAGATATAAATATGACTGCATTACAAATGTTGTTTGTTGAGAAATTTCAATATAATCCAGGAATGGAAGATTTTCCCAATATCTATATAAAGGATCCACAAGTTGGTATACTTTATGAATTGGAAGATCTAAGTGAAGTTAAAGATAAATCTATTCTAGCTTTGAAAATCGAAGGTATGAAAATTACTAACTATGCTGTAATTTGCAAATCTTGTTCAATTTTTATATAATTATTGTGTAAATTGCCTTTATATCACATCACTGATGTTTAAATCTATTTAATATCAGATTTAGAACAAGTAAAAAAGCATATAGATGAAAGTATTGCCGGGTTAACAAAGGAGATACAAGATATCAAAAAATCCTTTGCTGAAAGTACTGAAATATTTCGTCGTGGAAATTTTACCGCTCCTATTACCCCTGCTACGCAAAATTTTATACCTAATAAACCTTCACAACAACAATCCATATCATCAACAGATGATGTTGATTCAATAAGCAAAGATGATAAAAAATTAGATAAATCGAAGGATAATTTAGTGAATAAGATCACTAGTGATCTTAAAAATCATTTTCATGAAGTTCAAAATCTTCGAAGAGATTTAGGATCAATGCGGCAGATTTATACTGAATTTCAGGGTGATACAAAAAAATTGTTCGAAACTTTGACTGCTCAAACCGAGTCTGTTAAACAAGTTGCTTTAACGAATGTTGGATCCTCACGTTCATTCATTGATAGTGGTAAAACAAAATTGGATGCTCGTTCAACTGAACTACTTGGTAGAGTTGATGAACTTCAAGATATTATAGATAGAATGAAATCTGATGTCGTAAAGAGAGGTGCTAGACCGCCACAAACAGAAATTCAACACGTTAAACAAGGATCGGCAGGTGTTGCTAAAGAGCTTGCATCTTTGCAAGAATATGTAAAAACTGTCAAGCCAACATGGAAGCAAACATGGAAGCAGGAGTTACAAACGATTGTTGATGAACAACAATTTTTAAATCATCAAGAAGAACTTTTAGAGGACTTACAGGAAGATCACAGAAAATTAACCGAAGTTTTCAATACTATTCTTAAAGTTATTAAAACCCCAAGTCAAACAAAAGTATATGTACCTCCGGTAGCGGAAGAAGGTTTTGAGGGAATAAAATCTGTTCTTCAGGAAGTTCGAGGAATTGCTCCTGATCATGAACGGCGATTAAAAGCTTTGCAAGCTGCTGAAAAACAGCGTGAACGCGATTTAGCCAATCGTATTGATGAATTTGAGGCTGAATTGACAGATTTTGTTGCTCAGAATAAATTAAAAAAGACCGGTGGGGCGCAAGAAATTGAAAGACTACGTCAAAAGAAAAATGAAGAAGCATTGAAAGAACTTTACAAGAGTGAAAAAAGTTAATCATCTTGACATTTTTTTTTTTCTTAACGTATACGTAGCCTTTGGACTTTATAAATTTTGATAGCATTATGTAAATAATATATATAATTTTTAGATAGCAATCTTTAAATTACAGGAAATTGGTGTATTTATTTACTGATTTACGTTATTAGCTATTTACAATGAATTATTCTTTTACATTGATAAATGAAAAAAAAAAATTTATATATTAAAGTTATAATTATTATGCTAGGCAATATTATATGTTTATTTAAAACAAATTATTACAATTTGTTATTAAAGAATTATATTTCAATATTATTGTAAATATACTGTATATTTATTATGATTCATTGTATTGGTGCTAAGATTTAATTGTATTACTATATGTTTATAACAATATTACACAAAATTTAAAAATTTTATATATTGTGATATACGTATTATTGTTGCAATTTTAAATGTTTTTAATTAATTAAATATAGTATTATAAATACAGTATATACAATGTTTGCTATCATATATACTGTATTTAAAATAATTTGGTTAAAATTTTAAAAATTAAGTTTACACAATTAATAAAATATAGTAATACTGTATTATAAAATATATATATATACGTTATAATACAGTAATAACTTTTTAAATACTGTATATTAATAAAAATAAAAATTTTGTATTTAAAAAAAAATTGGGGGTGTTCATGTCGATCATTGGTGTGTCTATAAGCAGAAAAATCACGTGAATACTGTCACAATGTAAAAAAAATCGCATCACACCGGGTACTTTGATCAGTGCATTTACAGTACAACATTATAAAGGAAATCAACAAATAAAGTATTACATCTATGCTATACAACTTTAAATATCGATATCGATATAAGGATTTTAATGTTACACTGAAAGCTTTATCTCTATTGCAAAAGCTCATTTAAAACAAGTGTTACAATGTATTATTAAAACAATAACGATAAGAAAAAAAGCGAATACAGGAATAAATTAGCAATTACAGAATTAATGGATTCTTATCTCCAAAACTAGTTTTGATCCGGTGTTATTTACTTAAACACGATAAAGTCAAAAAATGCTATGTAAAAAAAAATGATTTGTTACGTATACGGTAGATTCTGAGATGGAGTTACGCTTGTGGAATTTTCGGATCCTTGAATATTATGGTTTATATGCGATTTCTTTTTAATATGCTAGGTTTCGTTTATTTAGTTATTGGAGTCAAATTTCTAGAAATATTGAAGGTAGTGAACTTAGTGATACCGACCATTAAACATTTACCAGCTGGACTAAGCTGATAAAAGTTTAGCCGGCTTGGCCGAATTTCGTCAATTATGCGATTCTCGTCATTCTTTAGTTCACGTTTAAGCTTCCAAATTTTAATTCTTCTATTAACTATTTGTTAGTGTAAGTTTAACCTTTATGAAAAGTAAGATAATTACATTTGTAAATCCGAAAATTGCAATAACTAGGTCAGGATGATTTCCAATATCACTGTACTTTAAATTTTCAACGCATTGATACAAAATGCAAAATAAGTAAATAAGTTTATTTACTAAAGTATTTCGAATCATTAAGACTTATGCAATTAAAAGAGCATAACAGAAGTTTATTTTTAATCATGCCCTAAAGAAAAATATCGATGATACTCTGGATAAGTATCAGTCATATTTTATTACTACTTTCATTATTTTTTTTTTTTATTGAAATATTGGAAAAATCCAAAAGTCCGATAGGAGCTTCAGATTTCTGTCAATAACACCATGGTTTATGTTTTATAGCGTTAATCAAAACCTTAATGCTAATTAAAATATGGTACCACTTCTTATTGATCTGAGTCTGTTCTTTGAGTACATCTTTACATACTATATCTCCAACCATATACGTACAAAATTTTTGTAATAACTAAAGCTTATGCGTGGATTATTATCATAAGAAATCGACCGGTCGATTTTTTTTTTTTTAGAAAAAAAAAAGAAAATCACTCTGCTAACCAAAAATTAACCTTAGCCGATTTTTTTTCATTATTGTTCAGGATCACTAAGTGAACTCATCGAAGAGGAATCTTCAAAATTTTTAAAATTTTTGATTGATTTCGTTAAAGGAGCATTTTTTAATGATGAGCCGACTATATTAGTTGTACCATCCTTAATTCTCTTCCTTTCTTTGCGACGTTTATGTTTTTGTATAAGTCTTTGTACTTCCAATGATGCAGATTCTTTGTTAGAAATTTTGCTCGTATCAGAAATTTTAGTTTTTAAACCTCGTTTCTTTGGCTTTGATTCCGATACTTTTAAATGACTTTTTACCGGATCTTTAATAGGTTCTTCATCTATACTCATTTCATATTCGTTATTTATAGTTTGTTTATCCTCCAACTTAGGTTTTTTACTTTTTGGTTTCGTTGATAAATTACCATTCTTTCGTGTTCTCGATTTAGTAGTCTTGCTAGATTGATTACTTATAATTTCAGTCGGTGGCTGACTAATTATAGAATTTCCTTTAAAGATTTTTTGAATATTTTCTGGTGGATTCGAGACACCGGCTCCAAATAGACCTGGTGTGGTTCCTAATCTTGTTATCGCATAAAATTTTGGATCTGGTCTTTTTTCATTTGCCAAATGATCTAAGAAATTCGCTGTTTCAGCGACAATTAAATTTTCTAAAGCACTTTCGTCTTCCATATAACTGTCACATTCTGTTATGCTTGTTTGAGCGTTAATTGCCTTTGGAGGATTTACTAAGTATGGAAAATATACTATGTTATTTTCTTTTTTCAGAGGAACCTCGAATCTAAGAGAGTTTTTAATTTCTTCCGGTTCGTCAGACTGTGTTTCAATTGCGAAACCATTTTGTAAAATGTTTTTAAGTGACATAGCCAAAATTTGAAAGAAATTACACTAAATGAATTTATTTATATATTGCTATATATGTAGAATCAGTCAGTGGCTTAGCTATGAATTCACGTGTAACTTGAATTGTCATAAAATAAAATACGTACGTACGTACAAAATTTTTAGGGAGATAAAATTTAGAGTCAGAATTGTTTATTTTTCACATATACACACGTGTGTCCAATTAAATGACTTAATTTTTTGATACTTTTAAATAATACAGTAATAATCAATATTGTTTATTTTCTAATTAGAGATGTTAATGGCTCTGATTCATAAGTCGTGTGTCAAATTAAATTAAAATAGATGCGGATTTAGAACTATTGTAATGTGTATCAGACTGAAATTTGAGGTACGTACGTACGTAACGAGTAAATATATATTCATGAAATCAATAATTTTATCTAATACGTATATGGACAAGTAGAATATCTTATAATCTAGTGATCGAAATTAGGTGATTTTTGCACCATTCAATTCGACTCTTTGAGACGAATTGAATGGTATAAAAATCATCCAGTTCCGATAACAGTCAGGGAATATGTTACATAGAGTGATATTTTATAATAAATACTATCACTTTAATTGTTTTCCAAGCGATTTGCCCAGAATTTTATTTATCTACATTTAGCTAAATAAAATTATTCAATTATCATACAGTAAAACGCACCTATGATGTTTAGCATAAAGATGCTGGTGAAATAAAATTAGAGTGGTGAAATTGGTGTTGAATTGGTGAAATTAATTTCACCAGTATCTCTAATCTAGCATCATAATATAATTGTTTTAATAAAATTTAGAGTGCATTTTTAATACTGTATGAAATAGGGGCTTATGCTGTATAACATAATAAAATCTTATAAATTTTTGCTTTTTTTTTTTAATATATAAGGTAGATGTACCTAATTTGACGCACGACGATATCTTGTGAACCGTTGATCAGAATCGTATGATTTTGGTACCATTCGATTCATCTCATCGAGACGAATCGAATGATACCAAAATCATTTAGTTCTGATTGATATTTCTCGAGATACTCCATTTAACCAAAACAGTCCAAAGTAGATGTACCTAATTTGACGCAGGTAAACGTTTACGATGAATACCATGTAATGTATCGATCAGATTCACAGGATTTTGGTACCATCCGATTCGTCTCGATGAGACGAATCAAATGGCACCAAAATCTTGTGAATTTGATCGATACATCACATGGTATTCATCGTAAACGTTTACCTGCGTCAAATTAGGCACTATATCAAATTAGGACCATTTTTTTAAATCAGACTTCAATGAATGATATCTCGTGAGCTAGTGATTGGAATTCGATGATTTTGGTGTCATTCAATTTCTGATCGACACGTCACGTGATATCTATCGTAAACTTTACCTTATTAAATGGTGAGACCTTGCTCTTATCTTTATGAAAATTTTTTACAAAATCGGAAAAAATCTTATTTTTACTTAATGCTAAGAATAAAAACAGGCATAAACCTAAATATTTATCTGCGGCCTAAACCAACCAGAGTGGCCAAGGCTCACCTCTAAACATTTTTACTTAGAACGAACCCTAACTCTAATTGCTTACAGTAGTATATTTTTGAGAAATAGCATTCTAGTAAACTTGAAATTATTCAAGTTTTTACAGTATTAATAAGTTATAATTTATAATAAAACTATATATACTGTATATATAGTATATATATATATATCTCTCTCTCTATCTAATGCTATAAATATGTATATATATAGTTATCTGGTTAGCTTAATAATGCTAGTTAGCTAATCATAAATCCAATAAAATACTGTATATATATTGTTCTTATAACTTTTGAAATTAGCTTAATGCAGATTAATATCGATTTGAGGCTAAAATAACTAACCAAATCTGCATTTTAAGTTTTAACATAATTTGGATTATACATACTGTTTTAATGTTACGTTTATATGGCCTAACTAAAAATTGCTTTTAGATCGAATATTTATCATATAACAAAAGGAATTTACAATCAAAATGAAGCATATATATCATCAACTTGTACTGCACTAATTTTTATATACTATATACTTGGAATAAATAGGCATAGTTTGGAATGTTTGGTGAACCCATTCAAGATTTTATACGTAAAATGAAGTAAATATAATTTAAATATAACGATAGAGGAAAGTAATTAATCGTTAATCCCTTAAACCGCATGTTAGCAATGGGCCTAAACTCGATATACTAATATCATGGTGCGTAACACTTCTGCTCTCAACACATCTCGGACAACGTTGAACAGATTTACTATATGGTTATAAAAAAGGATTAGATTCGTCTAAAAGAAACCAACGGAAATCAAGATGGATTTACCAATCTAACGTCAATGCCCTTAATTTCGCCTTTACACGTTCTATCGTTATGTTATGTTAACCAAAGTATAAAGTAATTCTCGGCATCATAGCATTAATAGCCGATACTGTCAAGAAACACGAGAATTTTGTTTCGTCGTGAAAAAAAAAAATAAAATAAAATAGTAGAAATCTGTGGAAGCCTGAAATGCGTTAAAAAATTGTTCATTATTTCGATCAAGTGAATTAAATTTATGTTACACCAATTACGCGATGTCATAAACTTTGGTATGATAAAAGGGGTAACAATTAAGTACAGTAACAAAAAAAAAAAATTATTGAATTAGATTTTAAAATTCGCTTTAATTTGCAAAAAATCTAGGGCGATATTTTAATGGAGACAACAAATGACGAGAAACAAAAAAACACTAAATTACAAAGTATATAAATAATAATAATATAAACTGATACTACTATATAATCTTTGAAGATCGCAGAATGTCTATCGTTGTCACGGCCAAAATTGCTCAAAACGCTGTTTTTTTCTCTGACGAGCGATTTCGCTGCGAAATTACTTTTGAATACCCACTTCCTACGGTCGAAAAATTTTCTCAAGACAAAATACAGAGCATATCAAGTAAAAATGGTTTTATAAGCCACACAAAAACTAACCAGGAACCTAAATCGCCTGGAAAGAGACTTTCGCCTAAGCAAGTTTCAAATGGAAATCCCTTGTCAGCAATAGTAGAGAACCCCTCGATTCAAAATAGCATAGCTGGAGATCTTGGTGAATCGGGAATGTTTGGATTCCGTAACTTGGTCAAAAGATCGACACTAACTGCGTTTGCGTCCTCAACACTCTCTTTATTTTCTTTGGGTACTGGAGACTCACAACCACCGTTATCACCAATACGAAATAATGAACTTACTGAAAAAAATAGTAGTACGAATTTTATGATTCGATTTGTTTCTTATTGTGGATTAAATGTTATTTTGCTAATATCCTTGTAATATTTTTTAAGACAATGTTGCTCAATCAACGGCATCGCCGTTTGCTTACATAGAAGAAGAGGCTTATGATGATGGTGGGCTAATTAATTTAAAGCAGGCTGATGGTAGTGACAGTGTTTCTGTTAGTGATTATGATACTTCAGAATCATCTCCACGAAGTTCTGCTGATTTTTATGTACATGGATATTCTGACGACAGAAGTAGTAATAGTTGGAGTGGGTCATTAACCGATTATAAAAGAAATAGTGGTGGTAGTGGACGTTCTTCAATTGGAAGTGGGAGATGTAGTTCTTCACCTACTCTTAGTCAAAAGTATGAAACATTACTATGGGGGTTTGCACAGATAGTTGGGCAATTTGTGGTAGATAGTTCTTTAGTGAAATCTATTGAATTTGAACCATTAAAAACAAAGACAATGTACAGACCAGCTAGTGGGAGTGGTGCTGGAGGTTCTGTAGGTGGTGGAACATTGGGAATATTCACGCCAAACTCTATACATCCTTCAAGTTTACAAGATCTCCAAGAACGAGCGGGTATGCCGTATAATTATTATTCATTGAAAAAATTATTTTGCAAATTAGAACTTATTATTCTAGCTTTACTTATTTAGATAGTAAATCTATACCTGTCTTTTCAACACCACCATCAATATTATTTTGTGATTTACACTTGACGCCGGGGGAGACTCGAACTTGTAATACTTGATATTTATTTTATTTTATTTATTTTTTTTTTGTAGAGTCTATTTAATTGAATATGTTAAAATAAGTCTTTTTTTTTTTTTTGTTTATGGCTAGACACATATGAGGCTAGGCTACCAACAGATTTACCCCCGACACACCGTGGTAAAGCAATTCGGTTTAATTATAATTTGATAATAGGAGCTCATCGAGGCGGGTTGAATCAACAATCACATATAGTTCAGTTGCCTTTCCGTGTATTTAACTTCGTCTCTGGTAAATTGATATTAAAATTTAGTACTCATAATGTTGGAGAAGAATTTATCATAAGCTATTGTTTTCTTATGTGATTTAGATGATGGTTCGAGGCCAGTTTATGATTTGATGAATCCAGTTATTATTTATAAAGATGAAGCTGTGATAAAATGTAAAGAAGATAATCCAAGGCGATCATCAATAGTAAAAAAACGAGGTTATTATTATTAGTATTTCTGACGTTTTATTTTTCATTTATTTTATTTTGTTTTATTCTCAAGTTTTCATTGTTTACGAATGAATATCAATTTAGACAATAAGCGCGAAGAATTCATAGATTATGTGACAAAGCTTGCTCAAAGCTCCGAAGATGTGCATTTAGACATGGACAATAAAAGTGATGGAAAGGGTGATAGTGATAATTATGTTTTTGTAGAGAAGGATGTGAGCTCTCTTACCAACACAGCAAATGTTGTATCAAAGAACGCACGGAAAGGTACTTGCTGATACAAGTATATCATATTATACGTGCCTACACATATTTAACATTCATTTCGTTTGAATTTTTTAGTAAATTATGACATTTGTAAAAATAATCAGCGAGTGGCACAGTTATGTCTTTTAAAAACATTGTATCGGTTGGGAGACATTGTGATGGGGACACTAAATTTCAATGATGCTATTATACCTAGTTATCAGGTTTGAAATTTCTGTAATTTTTTATATCTTTAAGAAAGAACTTTTTTGAATTCAACGATAAAACTTTTATGACAGGTATCTATCACATTGGAGAATAGTGAGTTGGTTGAATCATCTGTAGCTAATCGCACACAACAGCAAATATCGCGTTTGACACGCAAAATACATGGTGAACATCATGAATTTTGTCTTAATGCATCACGTATAAGTTTCTCTATTCCTATACCGACCAATAGCACACCAGACTTTGCGACAACAGGGGGTAAATAATCAGGATTCATTTTAGTAATCATCACTCATTACTAATTTATTTTTCTCCCTTTTTACAGTGAAACTTCAATGGAGTTTACGATTAGAATTTATTACTGGAACTAAGAATAATTATCCGTTGATGCCGCTTAATGCGGATGAACGTCATCATTATTATCAAGCAATCGAAGATGTTAATGTTGAAACCTTTGATTGTTCCATTCCAATTAAAGTATATCCTACATCATGTGAATCAGCACGGACATTTCCTTCTCAACATACTTTTCGTGTATCATAATGTACTTTTGGATTAATAATATTTAATTTTAGTTTTGATAATATTTTGTACGTATGTATCTTGAGACAATGCTCAAAGGGGTATATATTCAAGACTTAGAATTATTCAAGAAACATTCTTCTTTCTAATTTTCATATATAAAAATAACAATACAAAATATTTATTACAATAAATTTACGACTTTTTTTTTCTTAGAATCAAAAATTGACAATAATACTATTTGTAGAAGGAATTCAAGTAATACTCCAGTATTAGACTGTTAAGAACGCGAGTTTTACATTCAAAAAACCAAGTATTATGTCAATCAAATCTTTCAATTTGAGATCATTTATATGCAAATAAATCAATCTTATTGAATTCATCTGTCACGTAAAGAATGAAAAAAGATTGCTAATAATCTAAATAGAAATATTGATAATACTTTAAAAATATTCCCGACTACATATAATATAATTCATATTTCTGCAATTCGGTATTAATATTGAAAAATATACAAAACTTTCTCTTTTTTTTTTTCTTTTTGGGTGATAAAAAAAAAGGAAAAAAAAAACAAAAAAAAAAAAATTATGCCATAAACTAATTCAACCCTTGAATGATTTTCTTTGTCGGAACACGGTCGACGTGAAGCAAAGTTTTAAGTAAACTCTAAAAAAAAAACAAATCCAAAAAAAAAAAAAAAAAGAATGAAGGATTGAAATAAAGGAGTATAAAAATAATAAGAATACAAAGATTCACAAATATTTATATTGATAAAATAAAATAATTTATAGACCAAGCATTCATTTAAAGGTCATAATGTTGAAAATATTTGATGAAATGAAAAATAATCATATTCAGAAAAGTATTATTAGATGAAATCACTAATTCATATATTGTCCATTAATATTTTTGTAAACTTCCAGAGAATGAAATTTCTTGCTGTGATATATAACCATTTGATCTATTGCCATCATCATCATCAGAATTTGAAGCAGGCTGTAGCATTGGAGCTGGTCTTGCACCCCGTAAAGATCTCGGTAAAAAATAAGTAGCATAGCCCAGTATAGTGAATGCAATGTTAAATGGTAAAAACATAAATTGCATCATGCTACGCGGAACACTAATAGCTTGTTCTTCTTGTAATTTGTAAGAAATAATCGTGTCAAATTCTCGAAGTTTAGATTCCAAATAAGCAAATCTTTCTTCTGAATAACTTCGGAGATATTGTTCTTTTTTCTCGTATCTTC